TTCACAATAACAATGATCACAGAATCTCCACTCAATGCTGTCATGCTGCCAGCTCAGATAACACAGAATAGTTGTCCCTGCCTTACTGCCTACTTGCACACACAGAGACTTTTGCATACAAATGCACAAAAGGCATAGGAATATGGAATGTGACAAGAAGATTCAGTCATCCCAAAATATCAGGCCATTCAAAAGTCATGACCTGTTTGGGTATCTGTAGATATCAAACAGTAGAACTTGAAAGGTGAAATCCAGTGTTTAGACCAATTAGACCATGTAAAAGCTTGTGTATGCAAAACAAGCATGAGGTATGATGGCACCTCTGTCTCATAAAATGACATGTGAAGGTTCAGTTGGAATGTTGGAATGCAACAGGAAGTATAGTCAAGTTTGGAACAACACCAAATTGAGCTCTTGGTGATAGTGGTATCATTAAAGCCCATCTTGGTTGTATGCATCAACTTCTGGTTTCACTGGTTTCACCAGTCTACATCCTACCATTTGACTTCCACAGTTGTCAAAACAGGATCACAAATTCTGACTGGTCTGTTATTGCAAAACTGTTATCACATGAAGATGATGGCAAGTGTCTCTCTCTACATCTGCCCCACATGAACATCCCCATCATTAGTTCACAGAGAAGTAATTGGCAAGGCATAGTTATAAGCTGTTGGGCCTGAGGCTTCCTACATTACTTGGAAACCTGAAAGAACTTAGGTGACTAATCATGGCATCAGGAGAGGCTTTCCTCATTTAATGGTGGACAGTTTCATCGTCCTCATCTGTGGTCAGGAGTTGTTCCTCTGATGATCTGTCTCTGCTCTGAATCATGAGCAGAATGACTGCAAAGATCACAAAGAAGACACCCAGTCCAAGAAGACAGTACATGATCGGAGGGAGGTATTCCTTGGCGATAGCAACCCAGAAGAGGCTATTGGCGAGCTCAGGGGTGATTTCTGCTGTCTGACTGAACCACATCATGGGCATCATTACATTCCGGACATCCTTCATTATCCTGTTCAAGAGTATTCCAAACACAATCAGTTTCAGTCACAAAGGAAATGAAACCAGGATGAGCATAAGCTTCCAAAGGATTTATTCTCCTATTCAATGAAATGGAAAATTATCACTTAGATGACATTTTACATGGTACTGATTTAATCCAGGACCTCCAGCAGCAGTTAAATGAAGATCCATTTCCTGTTTGCAAGTAATTTGGACTGATGAAAACCTGAAAGACGCCTTCAAGTCGTGCAAGACGACATTCATAATCCAATAAGAAAATGAAGTAATGTGAAAACAATTTTTCAATTTTCCATTCTTCAACCCCAACCTCACGTTCATATGAGGAGGTTGAACTTTGTTGCAGGAAGGGGTTGAAGAAAGCCAATAGGTGCTATCATGCCTATTGATAAATCACTGAAAACTGAGAGGCCTTTTAACCCTATGATGAGTATGCCCATATATATACAGGCTGACTTCCTCCTACCCTCCATGTATTCACTACAGGTGGTCTTCTAGGTGTTAAAAACCCACTCCTCAAAGGGTTAAAATCACACTTCCTGGTCACCCAGTATCACATCTTTCAACTCTATTCAATGAGTCTTGAAAAAATGTGATCATCAGTTTGTAATATACCNTTTTCTATTATCAAGTGATGTGTCATCAGATAATCTGAGTTTCACAGCAGCTGGAAAGGACATCAATATGACTATGGGAAAAATTTGTATGAGGAAAAACTTAACATCGTAGGAAGGCACAAACAGTATCAAGACAGAAAGGAAATGTCAAGAGCAAAATAGGACTCCCAAAAAACTGCTTTGTGGTTACACTCTACAAGATGTCATAAGAGAAAAGATGAAAAGCTCGCTGCAAACAACTCTTAACAACACTCTTGTCAATGCTTTCATGTCAGTAGCACACAGTCAAGGCATCATGATTTTCTACATCTGTATCAAAATGCAAAGAGGAACATATTTAAACATGAGAAATGTCAAGGACAAGGATCCACAAAAGCAACTGGAGGAAATGCAGATTGCTTCAGCTAGAAACTATACTATGCTGAAAATGGCAAAACTGAATATAATTGAATATATCACAGTGCACTGAAATCATTCACAATAACAATGATCACAGAATCTCCACTCAATGCTGTCATGCTGCCAGCTCAGATAACACAGAATAGTTGTCCCTGCCTTACTGCCTACTTGCACACACAGAGACTTTTGCATACAAATGCACGAAAGGCATAGGAATATGGAATGTGACAAGAAGATTCAGTCATCCCAAAATATCAGGCCATTCAAAAGTCATGACCTGTTTGGGTATCTGTAGATATCAAACAGTAGAACTTGAAAGGTGAAACCCAGTGTTTAGATCAATTAGACCATGTAAAAGCTTGTGTATGCAAAACAAGCATGAGGTATGATGGCACCTCTGTCTCATCAAATGACATGTGAAGGTTCAGTTGGAATGTTGGAATACAACAGGAAGTATAGTCAAGTTTGGAACAACAGCTCTTGGTGATAGTGGTATCATTAAACCCCATCTTGGTTGTATGCATCAACTTCTGGTTTCACTGGTTTCACCAGTCTACATCCTACCATTTGACTTCCACAGTTGTCAAAACAGGATCACAAATTCTGACTGGTCTGTTATTGCAAAACTGTTATCACATGAAGATGATGGCAAGTGTCTCTCTCTACATCTGCCCCACATGAACATCCCCATCATTAGTTCACAGAGAAGTAATTGGCAAGGCATAGTTATAAGCTGTTGGGCCTGAGGCTTCCTACATTACTTGGAAACCTGAAAGAACTTAGGTGACTAATCATGGCATCAGGAGAGGCTTTCCTCATTTAATGGTGGACAGTTTCATCGTCCTCATCTGTGGTCAGGAGTTGTTCCTCTGATGATCTGTCTCTGCTCTGAATCATGAGCAGAATGACTGCAAAGATCACAAAGAAGACACCCAGTCCAAGAAGACAGTACATGATCGGAGGGAGGTATTCCTTGGCGATAGCAACCCAGAAGAGGCTATTGGCGAGCTCAGGGGTGATTTCTGCTGTCTGACTGAACCACATCATGGGCATCATTACATTCCGGACATCCTTCATTATCCTGTTCAAGAGTATTCCAAACACAATCAGTTTCAGTCACAAAGGAAATGAAACCAGGATGAGCATAAGCTTCCAAAGGATTTATTCTCCTATTCAATGAAATGGAAAATTATCACTTAGATGACATTTTACATGGTACTGATTTAATCCAGGACCTCCAGCAGCAGTTAAATGAAGATCCATTTCCTGTTTGCAAGTAATTTGGATTGATGAAAGCCTGAAAGACGCCTTCAAGTCGTGCAAGACGACATTCATAATCCAATAAGAAAATGAAGTAATGTGAAAACAATTTTTCAATTTTCCATTCTTCAACCCCAACCTCACGTCCATATGAGGAGGTTGAACTTTGTTGCAGGAAGGGGTTGAAGAAAGCCAATAGGTGCTATCATGCCTATTGATAAATCACTGAAAACTGAGAGGTCTTTTAACCCTATGAAGAGTATGCCCATATATATACAGGCTGACTTCCTCCTACCCTCCATGTATTCACTTCAGGTAGTCTTCTAGGTGTTAAAAACCCACTCCTCAAAGGGTTAAAATCACACTTCCTGGTCACCCAGTATCACATCTTTCAACTCTATTCAATGAGTCTTGAAAAAATGTGATCATCAGTTTGTAATATACCTGTCTTCTAGGTGTTAAAAACCCACTCCTCAAAGGGTTAAAATCACACTTCCTGGTCACCCAGTATCACATCTTTCAACTCTATTCAATGAGTCTTGAAAAAATGTGATCATCAGTTTGTAATATACCACATCATGGTTAAAAATCATAGGATCCAACTTTTTCCACAAACAAGGAAGCTTATCCTCCCACACAAACAAGGAAACTAAACAGGTTTTAATCAAGATAAATTGTGCTAGTTCATCCTGAAGTTTTCCTAAATTCCTCTAAATTGAATTGTCTTTAGAAATAGAGCAATAAGGTTACTGTGAAAAATCATTGGTAAAAAGGTATCAAAAATAAAATAATAAATAAGAACATAGACTGTATTGGGAAAGAAGTTACAACTGAAAACCTTTCACAATTTCAGTCTGGATAGGCAGAGGGACTTGAGAATAGATGTCACTCGAAGCTACCCAGAGAATTTTGAAAGCAAGAAAACTTGTTCAAAAGGGTTCTAAAATCAATTCCTCTATTCTATTGTGATTTTCACTAAAATCATTGAATCTGGCTGATTTGGGGCAGAATGCCCTGTTTTTAGCACATGTTTCACTTCACTTACTTGATTTCAGGAATGTTTTCAAGATGCATATTCAGCTGCAAGTTTCCCAATACCTCCAGTGGGACACCTGTGATCTGAAAAATAAAGAGGATCCAGGGAGAATTCCAACTGTAATTAAAAGACACCTTGGACAGCTCCCTATTTCATGCTATGAAGTGCAGCTCTAGCATATAGTATTAACATGTTCAAGTCATTGTGGTACACCAGTGGTCCATGTTGACTATTTCACAGAACAGTACATGTCTTCCACCCCTGACTAGAATGTGTTAATGTCCACACCATTCTCTCTCAATATCAGCTTTCTTACACATATGGACACTTAAGTCCTATCCTTCCATTTTTATTACTCTCCTTCATGCCAATGCAGGCCATATCAAGATTCTGCAATGAGATTAGAGTTGTTTAAATGACATATTATCTCAGAATGATTATACCCATGTGATCAACTATCACTTATTTTGTATTTGTGTCTGTATTCTTCTGAGCATGTTCCTGCATACACAAGGGGAATTTAAAAAATTCCTTTTATTCCTTCAGCCATATCTTATTGTTCAAAACAAAGTAACGTTTATTTCCTTCAAATTAGACCCCTGATGCAACAATATACCTTTGCCAACATGTTTCTACTGCTAGAAGCACAGTCCCAGTCCTTTGCAAGGTCCCCAAATTGTGCTGTCATGACTGATTTGTGTGTGACCTGCTGCAGTCACACCCATCATCCATCCATACCCTATTTATTCACTCCCATGCAGGGCTCCAACAGCACCCCAAAAAACTCATGTCATGCATCACTGACCTTGTCCACATCACTTATGACATGAAAAACTAAAGATAAAGCTCTGAAAATATAGGTTTTTACCTATTACAATGTCCACAACAGGCCACATTAATTTAGGATTGCTCTGTACATTGCTATGTAAAAAAAAAAGCAATTATCATAGGTTAAGTTGCCATGGAAAAAACTCATATAAAATCAATCACTAAATACCAATTTAGAGATTGCATCAGATGAATCATATCAGATTGTGCCTATTGAGGTGAAGCCAGAAACATAACTTTTTTGCATAGTGAAACCCCTGATGTTCTTTTAACCCTTTCATGATCATTATAAGGATCATATCTTTTGAGCCTGCTTTTGCAGTTACCATAGAAGAAAACTTGTTTTATTTGGTACCACTTAATAGCTCTCAAAAAGGGCTCTTCGGTGACATATCATTCGTTCAAATAGGTTGTAGTTCAGGCAAGCTAGATCAAAAAGAAAAGTTGTGACCTAATATTTTTTACTTTTTGTGAAATGGAATTTTGACCGAAATTTTTTTTTTCCTTTTGGAAAAGGGAAAAATATGCCTGCATGCTGCAGGAGCAGATGAACAGATACTATTAGGACAAAGGCCAAGTTTTAGGGACTCCCCATGTGTGAATATTGGCCTGTTATTCAATATTTTCAGTTGATGATTCTTGTAATTAAAAAATTCTTTTTTTGAATATGAGTAAATATTTGAAAGTTTCTGCAAGCTCTGTCTTTAGCTAGGCCTGTTCAATAGAAAAAGCGGTGAGAAACGGTCCTAGTTATTTGTTTTCTTAATTCAGCTTTGAAAGGGTTAATGAAATCCAATGCTCTCAGAAGATTAATAATTAAAAATCTCTTCATACTGGCTCCAGGGTGAGATAGAAGTTGTCAGAATCAGAAGGTTCTTTGAGGTTGAGGACATTTTCTCGATAGACAGAGTCAGCCATGTGGAAATGTGCATGGGAGACAAAGGCAGGTGCACCAAACTTGCACTTGGACACTTCTAGTACTCCACTTGGCCAGGTGATGTTATCTCTGCTGTAACACCAATTGCTGGGATTCTTAATGGCATTGGCCAAGAAATTTGCATCAGCCCAGAAACGGTAGCCTTTCAATCCATACTTCTCTGCGTTGTCCTTATAAACCAGCTTCATCGACCTATGAAAATGCAAGGCCATCAGTGAGATCAACAAATCACTTCAAACTCAATTTTCCTATTGTCCCATAATCAGCATTTTCCCAGTTCTGAATCACATATTAGGTTCTGCCATGTGTTTTTTTTATAGGTAAGATACACTCAGATTTTGCTGTAAATCCAAGGGGAAAGAATGAAAATACACAAGGAGCTGGTGCATCATGATTACACTGATCTGCTAGAAGTGAGTCACTTGAACAGAGAGCATGGGAACTGTGCAGCATATGCAAAGTAAAATACTTCAACCCAAATGCTGAAACCTTCAATTAATAGTCCTTTAAAAATACATGTGATCATATATGGGGGAAAAATAACTCTTCAGCTGAAAGACTTCTTTATCTTGCCTAAATGAGGTTTCTGCATTTGGGCCTTAACCCTTAGAACCTGACAGGCTGGTTTTCTGGCTTGACGGTTGCTATAATGCATTGCCAGGAAATGGTCTGACCAATTACTGGAGATTAGATAGGAAGGCATTCTGACTATTGTTATGGTCAGAAAACAACAATACCAAATTAGTGCAAACATACCAATTTTGACACCAAGGAACCTAGAGTAGGAACTTTGGATGGGGTAATGAAGCTAGGGTTCAAAGGGTTAAACTTTGTGGAATTATTTTTTAAATTTAATATTCAATGAAATTGAAGACAGGGCTGCATGAAACAAAAACACCGAAGTTAAATTTCAAGGCTTCACAGGCCATGACAGTTTTGCCATGTAGCAACTCTGATATACCTCCCACCTCCTATGATCTGTCAACAGGGCATTGTGGAGATAACTTCATCAGGACCATTGACTTTCAAGGAATGTCCACTTTCCCTTGCAACATGTAGTTGGGAAAAACAATGTTTTCCCCATCATTGACAGAGTGTTAAACAAGAAATGAAGCAGCAGTGGAAAGACAGAAAAAAGATAAAGAAAGAACATATTGCAGCCTTAGGTCCCATGAATCTGAAGTTACAAAGCATTGCAATACATTCAAACCTTCTGAAATGGCAAAACCAATACAAGTATAAAAACCTGACTTCCAATGATGAAGCTCACTGCTCACAAAAAGAAACATTACTACAAGGACTCTGTTCAAGGGCTATGGTATATTTTTCACTTCTGACTTGCCTGCAGAAGTCAGGGACGAAGATGGTGATGGAATCTTTCTCTCTGTTTGGAGGGAATAATTCCCCAGCAGAGCCATTCACAACTCCACATTCTCCCTGATAATAATCTGTCTTTGGTGAGAAATTCCATCGCTGGATTTCACCAAAAGTTGATAGATCCTTTGCCCCTGTGTTCATGTTGATCACTCCATCATACCAAATCGATCCATTGCGCTGTTTAAAGCATAAAACTTGGCAATATTAACATTTCCCAATATTCAAATTAGGGCTAAAAATAAATCATAAAAAACAGCAAAAATAGTGCACATCACATAAGAGGTTCTGTATTCAATAACTCCACTGCAACCTAATTTTATGCTCCAATTTCATCTCTCCCATGAGGCTGTTTGTTGAGAGTGGATGAAAATGCAGTTGACCTTATTATCCAATGTTATTTGAAATGAAACTAGACCCAAAATAATCATACCTACATTGCAGCTAAGCTGAGGCACTTGCAGGGCTCTAGTAGGTTTGACTATCATAGACATAGTCCTTTAGCTCTATGAAGGCTTCCTTATTTGAAAGGCATATCATTATCTAAGGGATGAAATCATGGGGGCCATAATATGAGGGTGGATCAAAAAGTTTTCTAATAAACAGCTCCAACTCGAGTTTTATGATACCAATGTCAACGTAACTTATCCCACCTTTTAACATGCTCCCCTCTAGGTCACAACATTTGGTCCAGCTATTTACCAGCCGAAGAAAGCCCTCAGCAAAAAAGTCACAAGGCTGGTGCTTGCACTAATCCTGGACAGCATTCTTCAAATCTGTTGTTTTGAATTTCATTCCTCAATGCAATTCCTCATTGCTTCTTTCAGCTTCGGAAAAAGGTTGAAGTCACTTGGGGGGAGTTCCAGACTATAAAGTGAATGTGGAAGGATCTTCCAATCAAGATTTGGTAGACTTTCAGCTGTTCATTTAGCCATAGGTGAGTGCACATCATTGTGCTGCAGAATGCCTGAAGTCAACATCCCCAATTGCTTTTGGCAGACAGCTTCTCAAAGCAATTTCTTCAGGAGGGTGCTTTAGTATTCAGCATTTATTGTGGCATTTTACTCAAGTAAGTCAATGAAGTCAACCCTTTTTGAATCCCGAAAAGAAAGGTTGCCATGACTTTCCCACTTGATTGCATGACTTTAAACCTAAGGGTTTTGGGAACAAGAAATGATGCCAGATCTTCCTGTCCACTCTTACATCTTTCATGGCATTCATGTGAGCCACTTTTACCCTAACATGCACAAACAAATTGTGTCTGCATTCTATGAAGAATTTCACAAAGTTTCAATCCATCTTTTACCAGAATTTTTTGTAATAGCTTGTTGCTCAATGATGACCATGTTTTCCATACAAGCTGTTATCTTCTCACAGCTGCCATGCATGTGCCATCAGTGTTGTCGAGTCATGCATGTGAACGGCATTATTTTATAATGCAAAGATCATGTCATCAATCTGGATCACATGTAACCTTACTTAAAAAAAACTTTTCCGGAAACTTTTTAATCCACCTTCATGTAAGTCAAAGTTCAGTAAAGTCATGATATTAAAATGAAATAAAATGTCTGTTATAATGTAACTCTATCATGAATATCTTACTTTTCCTGAGGTCTGCTGATTTCTCAACAATTTTTGTTCCACATATTATCTCAAGCCCTCTTTGCTAGGCCAATGCATGGTTCAGGATTGAAGTTGAAGAAAGAGAATATGACCAGTCTGATCCCAAGTTGAGAAATACAGGGAGTCCATAAAAGATTCATACAACTTTAATCTTTAATAAGTCATAAACAAATGAACATACATAAATATGGTTTGCAGCAAATGAAGCTGGATATTTCTAGTTTTACTACATGCAGTGGAGGCTTGTGATATTTAGCGCTAGCAGTTTGTCTATGAAGAGGGGGTAGGCAGTGCCCTCCCCTGCCTACCCCCTCTCCATAGACGAACCACTAGCGCTAAATATCACAAGCCGCCACTGATCACATGCATTTCAAATTCTTAAAATAAAATGTAAAAACAATTTTTTAGCTTGTGGGAAGTGAAATGGCGACTTCACAAGAGAAGGCAAAGTGTTGTGGTTTGTGTAGTTGAAGTGTCACACAGGTGCAGAGTGAGTTCAGAACTGTTTACAGCAAGGATCCTCCTGTCTGTGATTTAACACGCCGATCAATGAAGCGATTTAAGGACACAGGAAGTGTGCTGAGAGAGAAGAGCTTGGGTGGCATCTGCAATTCTCTCTTCCCATGATGCACAGACCATCTTGGGCTGCTCTTAAGGCTTCCCATACACATTCAACAACAGCATTAGCTGTTGAACATGTATGGGAAAAGGAATGGGAACATGTAAGGTCTACAGGAGCTCTTATCTCCCGGAGAGGAAGATCCTTGCTGTAAACAGTTCTGAACTTGAGCTGCACCAGTGTGTCATGCTTTGACTCCAAATACCACAATGCACATTCACCTTCTCTTGGGGAGTTGCTATTTCATTTCTGACAAGCTGAAAAATAGTTTAAACAATTTATTTTAAAACTTGAAATGCATATAATAAAACTTTGAAATAGCAAGTTTTCATTTGTTGCAAAGCACATTTGTGTATGTATGTTCATTTGTTCAGGACTTCTTAAAGATTGAAGTTGTATGACTCATTTATGGATACCCTGTAATATATAACTTCCTTTCTGAGTAATTCCCCACCCATCAAGTTAGTAAACAACAGCTTTTACCCCTCCTGTTTGTTCATTTACAGGTTGCTTCCCATCTTGCAGCACTATCAACATTTCTAGCTTTTTCCCAATCCAAGGCATAATTCTGCTAACATGGGGACTTCTGACACCCCACACTTGCTACTAACCTTCTCCAAATCAGTAAGCCAAGTCTTGCAACATACTCGTCTTCTTCTCTTACTGATGTGTTTAATTTGGTGACTTTCATAGACACAAGTGGAAGGCATATCATACTCTCCCTGGTTCTCATCTAATGGTTTCCCTCTTTCTTCAGCTGTCTACCTTAACTCCATCCTAGCAGCTGACACCCCCTGGGCCTGTCATGAAAACAAGGCAGAACTCAAGTTCAACTTTAAAATGACTCTAATGAATAGCAAAATAGGTATACTTTTCAATTGAGATATTACTGGCTTGAGAGACCAAGATTTCACCCCATGGCCATCATAAGCATGTGTGCCAAAGGTGATTCTTTCCAATAGCCTACGAGGATTTTCCAGCACAAAATGCCCGTTTTGACATCCTATTTTTTTTAGTTGAAAATGGACATAGAACATGGATCATAGAACACAGGAAAAAGTGAGGACTTACGGGGTAGAACCATCCAAATTTGTCAAAGGGAATCGTGAAAATGTCATGAAGAAATGTCCAGTTTTTAACTACATCAATGATTTTGTCATTGTACCCTTCAAAGAGTAGCTCACGAACAGGCTTTGGATCAAACAAGGTCACACCCAACTCTTCAAAGGCACCATCCAGCATATATAACATGAATTCAGAAAAAGAGTTGTTCTTCTTTGCCACATGAGCAGCAGTCTGGGGAATAAAAAAGAGAACACCAAGTCAGTAGAAATGAATTTCTTAGTGCACCCCTTGCTATGATTTTATTGCTTGTCTTCCTATAAGCCTATATATGAATGCACCTTCCATCTACAGGGTGTTACAGAAGAATATATTCATAATTCTCTCCTTTCCAGTGGCTAAAGCTTTCATTCCAACAAAATGGGTCTGGCCCCAAATGAAAGGGTAAGGACTGATCTTGTATGGCACATGGTTTGGTTGCTATATCTTGCACATACAAATGACGATATCACTGTGTGAATGTAAATGTGTGGTTTATTGTCCACATTATGATTGTAGCAAAGAAAGATAGGCTCATCTGTGTCAAAAAACACATGTCATGTTACACTCACACAGTGGTATTGTCATTGGTATGCAAGGTAAAGCAACCAAACCACGTGCCATACAAGATCAGTCCTTAACCTATCATACAAGACCAGACCCATTTCGTTGGGAAGAAAGCTGAAGCCACTGGAAAAAGAGAAATAGTGCATACATTTTTTTGTAACATCCTGTATAGTATGTTTTAGACTACAACTCTGGAGTTACTGGCAGTGCTAGAAGTGTTTCTATATGGTGGACCAAAAAAAACTGCCCCAAATTTGAAGTTTAATAACTTAGGCCAATATTTTTTAAAAAATAAATTTTTAAAAAGGAAAATGAAGCTTGTTCAATTTTCTTTCAAATGATACATAATTTTTGGGCCAGAGAAACACCCTGTATAATGGCTACAATGGAGGCCTTTTATGAACTGAATTTGTCAGACTGATTTATGGAAATCAGACTCACAGGGTTTCCATTGATATTAGAATTTCTTATACAAAATGGTTGAAACTTCCAAACTGACCTTGATTTAACCCAGAAACATGGAATACATAAATTTCATGATACATGTTTAAATGCTATATAAGTTGTATTATGATAACTATAAGAGATAAATTTCAGTAGTTGGGAAGATAATTGATAACAGTTCCTGTGGGATAAAACCTGGTTTTATACAACAGTTAAGTGTAGCATTAGCAATTGCAGTGAAATTTCTTCAGCATCAGATTGTCACTTTTAGTTCTTCAAAAGAAAGTTACCCTCCATCGTTCTTTCATGCCAAAGGAAATGTGGAATAAGGTAGCTTGAATCTCTTCATCAGCAGGTAAGTTTTTCCTAAAAATTGTGGTTTCAAATGGCAGGCAGTAGTCAAAGTTTTGACAGATGAAAATTGAATGTGTCATTACAATATTTTTCATAATAGACTGTATCATAAGAATATAAGAAAAAGCGTGCAAAAATATAGAAAGAAATGAATCAGTTCAGGTGAAAAATCAATTCATTTCAATCCCTATGAAGAACATCCAGCAGTCACATTACTCCCACTGATTTTCATTGATTTGTATTCTGTCTCTCCTGACATATAGGCAGTTGGTGAAAATGAAATACTTACCAAAGCCACAGGGTTCAAGTTAGTGATATTATCCTCCAAGTTGCCAGTGCTTTCTTTGGGGAGGAAATACCACGTGCGATTGTTCAGGTATGTGATGGTTCCATTATCATCATTCCATGATGTTATAATTTTTTCACGGTGTTCTCTGCACAGAAGAGCATGTAACATTGAATGCTTTTGGATCTAAGGATCTATATCATCCAGCATGATGGTAAATGTGAAGGGAAGTAAGCCTACAACAAAACTTTGATTCCAATGCTAACTGCTTCAAGAATAGTACATGACAAGAAATATGATACAGTAGATGCCGCTTCTTGTGATCAAGCTGATGCATGGAAATTTGATAACAGTAAGTGGCTGATAATAGGAAGCAGTAAACAATGAAAGCTTGAAAATGCAGTTTTTACTTAACAAAATTGATATTATTGAAAGTAGTAGTCTTCCAAAGTCCTCTGCATGGAAATTGCAGTTATTAGATCCTTCATTTTCATCTAAAAATTGTAGAACAAATGATAATTATATATTGTACCAATGCACAGTTCAAAAGTCCTTCAGAGTACTGTCAAGGCTGCATGTGCATGGCAGACACCAACTGGCAGACTGGGAGACACCAAGCTTAAAAGCAGCTTCTTTTTGACTTAACTTTGGCAAATTGTTAGGTTTCAGAAGTATCACATTCTCATGAATACTCAAGTCAATTTGTTTTTGAGCCATGGTGCACACTGCAGGCCCAAAAACTGCTACAGTGTGAACATGACCTTCTTTCTGGCTAAAGCATCTGAATGAATTAGCATTGTGCACGTTAGTGGAACAGAAATGTTCAAGACTGCTTACAGTTCTGTCTTCATAGCCAGGAGGAAAAGACATCATGGCCTTGCCATATACAATCATATAATAATTGTTTCAGCAAAAACATATGATCAAATATTTATTCCCATATATATTCATATGTATCATATATGATAGACCATATATGTCTCATATATTATATATGCCCATTTCTCATGAAATTGTATATAATTTTTCTGCATAGGTTTGAAAATGGAACCAAGACAGAAACAACTAAATTATATAGGGTCAATAGGCCACATGGGGGAATGTTTCCATAAATACTTTGAAGATATTTTTATTGCAACTTTTTCTTGCACATCTAACCAAAGTCTAGCCAAATTCACCCATTTATTAGACATGCTATAATCATCATCTATAATTAGATGTTAACCAAAGTTTTCAGATGACTCATGAACTATAATTGCAAATTCTTTAAATTATTTTAACCATAACAAAGAATTTTCTGCTACCAAATTTATCACAAAAATATAGTACCAAACAGAATATTCAGTTAAATTTATTGAGGGGATGAACCTGCATGAGCATATGGAACAGGACACAATGAAATATGTGTCCTAAAACAGAACACTATGAAAACATTACAAAAATGTATAATCTGAAAGAATTCCT